ATAGAGATGTAAGACTTCTTACACTGGCTTATATTTAATGCCAGCTGAGAACATTTAATTTTAGGTGACAGCAACTTTCTCAGTTCTGTTGCTGGTTTGGGGAATACAACTTCTGAGTAACAGAAGAGCAGTTGCATTTCCCCTGCCCAGCTGGCTGGGGCAATGCCAAAGGCACCATACTTTAATGGTACACCACAGCTGAGCAAGGATTCAGTCTCCGACCCTTGATGTCCTTCCTCACTGCTCAGGCCACTTCCAAGAGAACAGGAAGGAAAATGCTGAAGAAGAGAAACTAGAAATGGCCAAATGTTTTGACCATTTGGATTCCTTTGGTGAATGGCTTTGGCTGAAAATATACATCAAATCATTTCAGTCTGGCATTTCTTAAACAAAGCTTTCTCATCTTTTGTTTTGAACTGTCATTATTTTGACATTTGCGTACATTTAGAAAGATGAAAGGAAATGGAAGCTGTCAAACAACAATTGAAAGAACTTTGAAGCCTAAATAAAAGCATTTCCTTTTAAGCCAAATTAAGTGTTTGAGGTCAGTTTGAAGAGACATAGCTTTTGATGCTTTTGCTTTGCAAACACTTCCTCACGCTCCATTAAGTTTACATTTAAAGTCAGACCATATCCCTAGAAGAAGAGAGAGGTTGGGAGCATTGACATCATTAAATAAAGAAACCCCACATTATTCACACAATACTAATTATCCTGGGCCAAAGCAGTCAAAATACTTTTCTGCAGAGAGTGGTACAGTTCAGGGGGAGCATAGGGCAACCTGTGGTGGTCAGCCCCATAGCATGTGCGTGCTACTTAGAGGAAAGCAGAAGCTATCAGCAAACACAGCCCCTCCTGTACAGCAGGGTGGAGCCGCCAGAAGTATACAGCACGATCCCTCTCTTTCCTGTTACTCACAAGCCTTTTGGTGTTGTCAGCTTCCAGTGACAAATGCTTCCCGCTCAGCCTGTGGCGTCACTGATCAGTTGCCCTAAGCCCACGACAGGAGGTTTGTAATTACGTTCCTTAGCTGGCAGCACAGTGACCACACTGCCTCCATATTTGGCCATGCGAACGTGGTGGGAGTGGGCAGTGAGGGATTTATGGGAAAATGGAGCATGGCATAACTCAAAACTATCCACAAGAGAAAGTGAAGAGCATTACATGAAGCACAGAAACCTAAGTCACTGCAAAAAACATCAGCAAGCTGATGTCTGAATGAAGAAGAACTTCACCTGCAGCCAGTCCTGCCTGCCAGCTTTGGCTCTTGCCACATCCAGCCCAGGATAGTTTTCCACTGAATCCAATGGAAGAAAGGCCTGTCACATGCATCGAAGTAACAGATAACATTAACATTTCAGAGACAGGACAAAGTGCTGATTAGATGATGCGAAATGCAGATTTTGATTATAACTCAACTGGACAAGAAGCTTGAAAACAAGTCTTTCTAGCAGCTCCCACTGAACTTCAAACCTCTGTAGTTCTCAGATAGTGCAGTGAGCATGATGTTACACATACACAGAGTGACAGGCTCCCACCTCCGTGATTCTGGTGGCTTCAGAGGAAAATCGTGATCTTACACTAGTGAATATTGTCTGGAAGGCTCTACATAAGCCAAAGTTCCCTGTGCAGATGCCCATCTTGCAGGCCAGTAGAATTGTGATGGTTTCTTGCCAGCTGAGCAGGGATCCTGACTCCCAAAACTTTGTCAGGAGAGCAATCACAAGGGCAGAAATCTCTCTTTAGTTACATGCGTGTAAAGTCAGCATAGTGCTCCTAACTCCACAAGGTCAAAACTGTAATGGAATTAACTCAGCATAGTATAGCTGAGAGCCTTGGATTCCTTTTATTCCAGCTAAGAGTCTGGCTCAGTCTGATGCACGTGGAAGCAAAATCCATCACCTATTTATACATTACTTTCCTAGCGCAACTTTAACCATCTGATCCATAAATTGTGTCTGTCTGATCTCTGCATCTTCAGCTTCAAAAAAGTAGGTGAGATGTTTTTCCCTCCTCTCAGGTTTCATCAACTCAAAAATGGGTACATGGCTTTTGTTCCAATACTATTTGACAATCCCCATGTAGGGGATGAGAAAAATTTCAGTCCAGTTAGGTGAATGTTTTGGGAAGCTTCAACTGGGAGTACAGAGATTGGAAGAGACTCATCCTGGAAAATGTTTGCAGTTCTCCTATGGTTCCTCACCCTCCGCTGCTAGCATAAAACTGTCTCACAGGTGCTGGGAGGAAAATAGTTACACCAGATTGTGACAAACCAGGCTCTATGCTGCACTTGGCATGACCAGAAGATAGCAAGGGCTCTTTGGGTGTTTCCAGTCTATAGAAAAGAAAGTCCTGGAAGTGTCCCTGGAGAGAACCTCTCCGAGCAGTTGTTTGAGGGACAACCAGCTAAATTATACAATTTTTCAATGCTTGCCATATCTGAGCAATCCTGATGCTAACAGGCCTTGTGGCAGGCCAAGCAAGGTGAAGCATCCCCCTTAAAAGCTTTTTGCCCTTGCACACTGACCACAGAGGTGGCTGGCCCTGCAGGGATGGGCAGGCACCAGAGGCTATGCCTGATCTGCCTTTTGCTCATTTGCACTTGCTGGGATTACTTCAATAAAATTCAAGTTAATTTTCTATTATGTAGCCCAAACTGCCTTCCCTGAGCAGTCTCTGAAGGCTGGCTGTGAAACTGGGGTCTCCATATTAAGTCCAACCTTTAGTCTGGTTTACATCCTCTATTGGGGTAAATCCACCTTGCCCCAAGGCCTGAAGCAACTGCTCTAGACCTTTTCCTTCTCATTTTCTGGGGACCTGTATTTATGCTCAGGATTTGGAAGTTCTTTCTAACTTTTGCCAAAAGCCAGATTTTCTCCATGCCTGCTCCAAACACACCTTTGCTTTCAAGTGCCTTCCGCCCAAGACACAGAGCACTGGAAATCAAGGCCACCTTCTCTTCTCTTTCCAGCAGCCACGAACATGAAGCAGTTACAATGCTAAGCACAGGACAAACACAGAACAAAAAGAAGGTCTCTAAGTGAAAGAGGTCACAGTCAAATGCTTCATGCTTTCTCCCAAATCCTGAGGTTACAGCCAAATGTTTTACTTCATTCTCTTTTCCAAGAGCTCCTCTCTCCCTTGTAGCCTTCCATTGTGTTTCTACAGCTATAACAGGTTGGATTTGTCTCGCTGTCTCCTTAGGGCAATAGACACATGCCGTCAGCCACTGCAACAGCAAACTGGCAGAAAGGGGAGTTGTTAAATGTGCAAAAAGAGAGTACAGAGTGGCAGAAAGCCTACATTTCCAAGGATAATGAGAAACTTTTGACTACCCGTTTTGGGACAGTGTTAAAAAAAATTACTACTCATTTTGGGACAGCTCATTACTGCCAGATTTTCAGAAACTCATGTACTTTCTGCAGATCATGCTTCTGAAGCTGGGCACCCCCAAATCCCTAGCTGCTTTCAGATATGTTGGTTATAATGCTTTGATTCAAGCATTTCCCAGCAGATGCCATGTAGGCTTTGTTCTCTCTGAGGGTCCTGGGTCTGTGCCACACAGGCTAAGGACTCAGTTTTATGGCTGAGAAACCTTTGTTTTACCACCAGTTCTGCAGGCTCTGCCTGAGAGGAAAATAAAAATCATGACTGTGAATGACTGGTTGGCTTGGATTCATCACAGTTTTTCATGTGATTTCATGTGACCTTTGTTCCAACCTCAGACACAAAAGCATCTGGACATAATAATACCTGTTTATAAATAACATTGTATCATCATTTGTTTAAAAAGAAGTAAATCCTAATGTTGATTATTTTTGAACACACCATGAGCTTTCTGACATAATTAAAAGACAGGAAGAGTCCCAACGCTGGCATTTCCCCAAAAATGTAGATTGTTGTGGGAAAGGAGACAGAGTAAGCTTCCTGCTTTTGTGGAGGGAACTTATTTTTTTTTTAAGTAAGATAAACTTAGACCACTGCTTTTGTAGAGATCGAGGCTTATTTTACTTACTTATATCACATGCCCATCAGCAGGCAGGGCCAAGGTGGAAGTGAGCCTCTGTACAGATTTGTTAGCGGCACATTCAGTGGAGTCCACTTGTGGCACAGGAGAGGATACTTGCTGTGCACGGGGCAGTCTTGGGGCCAGAAATGTCGAGGTGCAGAGCAGGGGGCTGGGAAGCACCATTGCCTTTCCTCTACCACAGGATTACTATCTATCTATCTCCAGCACTGCCCTTGGCTGAGCAGTAGTGAGGCCCTACAGATTCTTGGTGTGGAGAGATCAGTGGTACAGAATATCCTGCCATACCCAGACAGCAAGGTTGATCCTGAAGATTTTCTTCAGGCATTTCTTAATGACTAAGAAAATAGCAAGCAGGGACATATTCTGGGATCTGCTAAATCTGCTAAAGACCAGTGGAAAGATGTTCTGTCGCCTTGGCAGTGTGGTTCAGGCACATGTCCCTCTCGCTGACTCACCAGTAACGAGGGTTTGAGTTTAGCTGTGCTGTAATCATTGCAGATTGCCAAAGGCAGACAAAATGCACCCCCAAGTTGGTCACAAAGTGTCAAGTCATTGCAGCCTGGGGATATGTGCCTTTTGGTAGGAGCAAAGCTTAGCCTCAGGACATGTAAGTGTGACTTGCGCTGGGGACTCTGAGCTAAATGAGACATACTAACTCCAGCCATACTATACAGTAGAGCTATATTTGTTTGTAAGGGTCCTGTGGCCAGTAAAAGACAAAAATTAGCCTGGGAGGTGGAACTAGAAACTGGTTGATACGAGGTTTTCCTCTGTATCAGCCTGTGATCAGTCAGAAGAGTTCCTCTGATGGCACATCTTGCTGAGTAATCCATAAAAGAGCTGCGTGCAAGCAATGCTGTAGCTTAGACCTGGCTATAATCGAAGACCCTTGCAAAAGGAAGCCTGAGTGTCTTTACCATGGCCCATGCAACTGTAAGGACTGTGCTGGGCTCCCAGCTGCTAGTAAGACTTGCTCTGTCGTTCCTCCATGATCCAAGATGCACGATTATTGCAGGTGAACCAAGGTAACAGCAAAGCCCTAGGATCTGGTCTGGGATACCTGGAACACATTTGCCAACTGATTGAGAAGATTGGGCAGCTGCAGGAGCACAACATGCGTCTCCAAAAGCAAGTGTGCAGCTTGCAGAAGCAGCAGAAGATAAGCCAGATAAAAGAGGTAAGCAGACACCATAGTATTTTCAATTAAATGATATACTCAAGGCCCAGGCCCAGATTAAAAGTTCCAAGTCTGTGTAAGAGAAGATGCTAATTTACTTGACCACACACTCACCTGGGCTGGGTGCTCTGGTCTTTAGGAAGCCTTCACCCACCATAGTGGACTCAGCTTCCCTTAGGGTGGGCTTGGATTTCTGTTCTTGGTCAGTTTTGTTTCCCAGATGTGCTTGCTTCTGTTGACTTAAAAAGTGTCCTCACTTCATGTGATGGCCAGCTCAGAGTCAGTAGCTTTTACGTCTCTACAGTTGAAAACTTCCCAATAACATATCTCCCCCTGTCAATGCTATCAAAACAAAATCCATGATCCTCCTTAGCAGTTGTGTTTTGAATTAAAAGCTCTTCCTTTTCCCTCTGGTTTCAAACTGTCAAAATCACAGAATTTCCCACAAAACAGACACAATGGGAAAGAGAAGCAGTGGTACTACTACCCAACTCCATACTCTCTTTCCAAGCTGCCACATGAAGAATCTCAGACATGAAACATCTCAGTGTGCCTATTTGTCTTTTTTACCAGACAGAGCTAGCTAGGGAATTTGACTGAAATTTGCAGATTATTTCAGCATCCTGCTAAACAGCATTTTTTAGCCCTTGCACATTTTGTTCAGCTCTATCCCACCTCTGCTGCTTTGTTCTTTTTCTTTGGACATCACACCAGGTTTCCAGCTTTTTTCCTCCCCTCCCTTTCTATTTATTTTATCACTCCCAAAAGAACAGAAGGGGTTTGTCACGCTCAGCTATTTCTTCCTAGCCATGCTGTGGCGAATCTTTTATTGTCCCGACAGTGTCATTCCTCCCCTAGTGCCACCTGCTGGGACTGGATCTGCAGTAGGTGACTAACTTCTCTTCAGAGCTAAAGCCAAACTGTGAGTCAGGTTGCAGAGTAGCCTGTCATTTCCATGTACCCATCTCTCATGCTTAGAGGAATGCAGCCTCCTACATAGAGCCTGGGAATTGTTAACACATTTCCTGAAGCTTTACAATTGCGAGTCATTGCTCAAAGTACCTCTTCCAAGCTGCAAATTCAGGGTCAAATCCTCATCTGGCATATATGCCCCTCCTTCCCAGTTCCTACTGAAATGAAAGGCACCATGCTTTCATTTAAATATTTGAAACTTGGATCTTTTTGGTATTTTCCAAGATTTCTCAGCTGTGCCCAGTGGTGTTCTTGACAGCTGTACAGACATCACCACAAAGACTGATGACATTGTGATCCTGGGACACAAAGGGAACACAGTTACTCCACATCCTTCAGTTTACCAGGAAGTCTTTAAAGCTGTGGGCATTAATGCATCTTTCACCAGATTTTTAAAGCACCTTCCAAAGTTAATGCAAAATGCCATGCTGCTGTGGCATGTATCCAGAAGAGATGTTACATTAAAGCTGTCAATGGCTTGGGGATCTCCAGAGGTGCTAAGCTGGTGTTGGCCTGGCCTGGTTCCAATACCAATAAATAGTTTGGTTCTCTTTCCACTTTAGCTGGATAAAGCTCTACCTGCTTCCTGCCATACGAAACTCTTTTGTGATGTAGTTGTGCAAGGCAGAAAATCTTCCCTGCCCACCACAACAACTACAGCTGAAGTACAGCAGCTGAAGTGTACCACATACAGTGGATCTGACTGGTAATATGCAAGCAAACTATGGCATCCCATCAATAAAAATACAAGATATTGTTGTCTGTGCACATTCCGAAACAAATAGTGCTGTCTTAAAATGAGAGTCATTATTATAACAGATCTGTTTATTTACACAAATGCCTTAGCTGAGCAGCCATGTGTTTAGAAATTTGTATTCAATTCCTTTTGGGAAACAAACACAAAAGATGCTGAGTATCAAGCAATTTAAGTTAAACACCAGTGAGCCCATGAAAAATTCTATGTTGCCTGCTCCAGGCTGCTTAGCCTTTTATAGAATTAAATAATTTGTCTGGGTTCTGATGGGTCTCAGGAAGACACTTGGGCATCCCTTCACTGTAATGACTGCAATTTCTCTGTACCATCATACCACCCAGTTACCTCGGGCCATTGCAGCCTGAGAGAATGCATGCTTCCTTTTTGTCTTGTGTAGGAGTACGTTCTGCAGCATTGCTCCTGTGGAGCTGCCAGTGTCCTCAACTCACACCAAGACGTGAAGACATCTTTTGCTGGGAGGAACAGACCTCACAGCCTCCTCGTTCAGACTGGAAACCCATCTGATCTTTCCATCATCCCAGAAATAGGAGTGAACACTGAAAAGCTGAGCAGCTGCAATGGTGAGTTCAAATGCCTCAAACCTGTCCTCCTGCTTGCCACCAGTTGGTGAAATAAGCTGACCAGCAACTTCCTTTTCCCTAGGAAAGACAGATGAGAACAGAGCAAGTTGTTAGTGGAGCTAAACTTTAGCTGGAAATCTAAGAGATGCATTTTAAAATCTACTCCTAGTATTTTAACACTTGCTGCTTCACATGTGTGGAGCAAGACCCTTTGCTGTGCAGCTGTGGCTATAAAGATTAGGACAAATGTGTATTAAAATGAGTCTCTCTTTTGGAAACTTAGCATGCTTGAATGGGTTCATTAGTGGTGTCCCTCCATTTGGCTTTAAAACACCACTAGCCATGGTAGAATTCGATCCAGGATGGAAAGCCTTATGCCTGTTGTTAGTCTTCTACCCTCTAAAGCAGGCACAGAACACATTCCTGGAGGATGACTTATTCTATATAGACCAAGTGGAAATAAGCCCCAGCTGCAAAGCTTGGATCCAGAGACCAACTTTTCCTGAAGGATGAGAATGACTGGGCTCAGCCTACTGATGATAAAGACAGCTGAAAAGTCTGGATCCAATGTTAGATGTGAGCCAGCCCACTAAGCAGGGGTGATTAGTTTATTTCAAACCTTGGATTTAAGCCTGCCTCTGATACCTGGTGAAATGCAGAGCACCAACATACCTCCTAGTAGGGTTGAGTCAGAGTCTAAATGACCTTTGGGATGGCTAGTGCTGAGGCTCAGAAATACTCTTTCCTGGCAGTTTCAGAGCAGGCCTGGAAGGAAAATAAGACCATGAGGAAGTGATTAGAAAGTCCTGTTGTGGTCAAACACTTTATTGGAGCATTTACCTTCTTTCCACTGCAGCTTTGCATGAAATCAAGTGGGGTCTCAGCCCATTTTTAAGTCCTTAGGGTTCTCATCCCATCTGGAGTTGCAATTTGCTGGCAGCATTGCCCAGAGGCTGTCCTAGCAGGACATTGCAGAGAAACATGAGCAAGTCCTTGCATTTCATTGCAGGAAGTGAGAGATACCCGGAATCAGGAAACAGCCAACTGATGGTGGGGCTCAGGAAGTTGTCAAACAATAGGAACAACAAGGAGAATGAGTACAGAGAAGCGGGTAGTATGACTGAGGTACAGGCTTTTCTGTCAAAGGACCCTGCAGTAAGAAAGGTGAGTGGTAAGCTTGGAGCCAGACTCCAAGTGGGATCTGTGGGAGAAGCAGGGAGAAGTTCTGCTCAGGCAGAGCAGAATGGGGTACCATGAGAACAAGCCAACGCTGTCTGCTACTGAATGGGGCTGGGGCAGTGAGGGCCAGGCTGCTCTATGCCTCTCTGCTCCCAGCCTTCAAAGGCGGCAATGGCTGTGTCTTTATGCCAAGAAAGGCACAAACAGAGCACTGGTGCAGGGGAGTGGAGCACTGCAGACAGCAGCATGGGCTTTAGCCGTGACTACAGATAATGCATGAACTCTGTCATAAGGATCTTCACTACTGCTGCTACCAAGATTAAACCAACCACACGTAAAAAAAATCTAGTGGGTCAAATCTTCGTTGGCAAAACTTAGTACCAGACTGGCAGCATATCAGTGTAATTAGCTCCAGTCCCCAAAGCATGTTTCAGGGAGCCAGGGCAAATGCTTTTCCTCTCCCTTTCTTTCCCATTGTTTGTGGCTGCCTCAGCACTTTCAGAAGTGCTGAAATGCCGGGGCAGAGGCTCTAATCACAGTATTCCCAGCCCAACAGGAAAGAGGAAGGAGGAGGTTTCTCACAGGAAAGACCTTCTCGTGAAATTTCCACCCCAAAGTTACGAATAAGTTGAAGACACTTTGATGAAACACTTCAGAAACCAAATCAGGGGCGAATCCTAAAAGGTGCTCTATGTTCTGCCTTGTGTCCAGTCAACTTCTGGAGTGCAAGCATTATATTAAGCAAACAGGAAGCCCTGATGATTTCACAGAACTGCAGAATCGAGATCCGCTCTTTAAACTAAATCCTCATGCTCTTTTTGTTACACCACACCTTAGTATGGTCACTTTGTATTGCATTTTGTACCCTGAGCATGAAATGCCTCATTTAGTTCTAAAGTGCAGGTACTGTGTGGGAATCCTGCTACACTAGCCTGACACTACTGGGTGCTAAACACATGAACTGGCAGTCTAAATACAAAAGAGAGGCAAGAGGTGGAGGAGGAAAGGGATTATCACACATGTGAGGGACTGAACTGTAAAGAGATAAAGGACTTGACAGAGGCTATGGGTGGACTCCAGGACAGAGCTGAGAACAGAGCTACTCTGTTCCCAGCACTGTTGGGTTGGTCTCTCTGTCTTATTTATCAGCGTATTTGCCTGTTGTTTCTAGGGTCTGGACGTCAGCAAGAACATCTCGGTATGTACTGCCTTTCCAGAATATATTTAACTATTACCTGCATTAGCACAGAATAAGCCCCTGTGTAGTGCATGACATAATACATGAATAAAAAAAGATTCACTCACTCCCAATATTTACTGTCAAACTAATAGACAGACATGTATGATGACTTACAGCATGTGGTCCGTTGTTCTTCCATCCCCACTTCAGACAACAGCTAGCTAGCCTTCAGAAACAGGCAACTGCTCAGGCTTTCTGTGATATGAGCAGTGCTTCTGGGACAACACCAGCACAATAAGGGACTAACTGCTAAGACATCCAAAACCCTTCTGTGGCATACATTAATCCTAGTAGGAAACACAAAGGTTTGGTATTTCCAGGAGTAAACAGTCTCACTTACAGGCAATTAACTCAGTAGCACAAAAACCAGTGTTGCAGTTTTCAGCTTGTGCTCCCAACCCATGGAGTTGGCTCTGCAGGTGGCACAGTGGGAAGGCACCTTGGGACCTGGCAGAACAAAGCCCCAAATGTGATAATGGTTTGAGAACTTCACTAAACGGGAACCATTTCTTCCCACTACACTAGTCCTGGGGCATGATCCTTTTTGTTCTGTTCCCAAGGTTTTCCTGACATTGCTTTAGGAAATTTAAAACAATGTAGCAAAAAAAAAAACTAACATGAATTTTTTTTGGTACGTGTCTCCTTTACAGTTCAAGAGTCCAGATGAGCTCACAGCCCAAAGAGAATAAACATTAGGGAGGGCCTCATGAGACTCTCTGACCTCCTGATAATCTCTATTAGCATTTCAAATGTAAGTGCCCAAAAGCTGCAGCTTGCAGACCTGACAGGAAAACAAAGGCTTGATCTCTTCTAATTCATGGTCCACAGAAGTCATCACCTTTAAAAGGGATGATACCAATGCACCTGGCCTAATAGAAAGGAGAAGGGAGTCAAGCTGCTTTTTTGGGTTGTTTTTGTTGTAAAGGCCCCCTGGGTGCATATGAGTAGGTAGGAAACCAAACCTTTAGCACAGTATAACAATAAGGTAAAACGTGCCTTTCAGCAGCTACTCACTCACCAGTGAAGTGCCTTCGCTCTCTCAAACCTGGGGTTAGAAAGAACAGCAGGGTCCTAGTAGCAGAACAGGGTTTGGTAACAAAACAGAAAAAGGATGGTATTACTGACAGTTGGTCCATACTATCTCATTGTGTCCTGTACAAGTACAGGCTGGCCATTGGGCATCATTGCAGGGTGGGATGGGGGGTCCCCCTGTTTTTTTTTCTGGGACCTGACTCATATCTGTCTGAAATAAGGAATCTCCCCTCTTCCTACCACCCTGGAATACCCTGACATATCATATGTTGGCCAGATGAGGTCTGCCAGCAGCTAGCCTTTGGTCATTCAAGTTGTAGCTTCTTTTTGCTCCCAGGGTGAGAGCCATGCTTGGGGAAGAATGAAAGATCTTATGAGGAAGACACGTCTGAGAAACCAGAACAAGCTGGGCTTGTCCTCTGCTGCTCTGAAGAGGTCCTGTCCACAGCTGTACAGGTAAGGCAGAGCTGTGGGAGATTTTTAGTTAGTGTTTGGGAGGAGGTAATGGGCAATATACCTCTGTTTGCTGCTGGCTGGAGAAGACCTCTCTTTACCTTCCCTCCCTTGCATATAGATATCCTGGTAAACACCGCCATTTGCCTCCTTAGTGCTTCAGGTGCTCTAAGATCCTAACTGGATAATGTTACCTGTGTGAAAATAATGGAAATGTTAGGGTCCCTAGAAGAAGGTACTTATCCCCAACAGGGCAAGGGAATGTTGACAACTAGTCAGAGCCATTCTATAGCCTCATGATTTGTCTTTCTGCTCCCTCCTAAGCATTACAGTCAAGGTTAATGCTCTCCTCTATCCACCTTCACACCTTTCATCTAGCGGAACTGTAACCCATCTTGCATCTGATGTGTGATGGGATGGGACATCAGGATCAGCTGGAAGGTTTCCTGTCAGAAGATGATTGCCGAGCGTGTGCTCATGGGCGGGATGTGCTTGTTGCTGGAGATGAACATTTGGGTCAAGCAAGGTTTCATTTCTGTTAAGAGATTCTTGCTGGTCCCTTCGGCAATTTGTATACCAGGCTAGTTACAGCCTGGCCTCTGAGCTGTGCTGTGCAGTGCATGTCTCTCTGAGGTGATGACGGTGCTGCCAGCTACCCCTTGCACAGATACTCCCTGTGTGTTTGCCAAGTTCTCCCAGCTGGTCTGGTGAATTTGGGTTGTTTTGTGTACATAATCAGGTAACAGGAAGAGTCTGGGTATCTTACTCACCAAAGCAGGAGCATTACATGGAGCTGTGTACCTCCCTGTGTTTTTTCAGCTGAGGTCTCAGTAACCTTCAGCGGAACAGCTCAGATGTTCTTAAGCCCTCCTCAGGTTTTAGAGGGGGTGGTGGTGGGGGAACAGCAGTTGTTTAAGCACTCAGGAATGTCCCATTGTTCCCCATAGCCTGTACCTACCTTAAAAAATGCGTAAGGGAACTGGGAATCTCATAATTACAGCTGGAAAAAAAATCCTCTGTAGTTCATGGAGTGATTTTTCCAGCTGGGAAAAGCTTGGTTGGGGCCCAGGCACACGTAACAGGCAAGCTTCCTCCTATTGTCTGGGAAACTGAAAGAAACACAAAGCAGAAAGAGATCAAACAGTTCCATCTAAGATAGATGGTGAAACAGCTGGGGTAAAAACACAAACTCTTGGGAACCTTCTCTCTAAACCTGAATAGAACCAGGACTTTATTTGGGTTTCAGGAAAGTCATGTCTCTATAATCTCCCATTTGGCCCTTTCTCTGCAGCACTGAGGACACTGAGAATTGAAGGCTAGGTCCTCAGCTTCATTGGGCTGACTCCAATGAAGGGTCAGCCCAGTAGCTCCTAATAGAAATAGCTTTTACTACTTTCACGTGTATACTGGACAACTACTACTGTCATGGAAATGCTGTACAACAAGGTGCCAAGTGGATGATTTTTTTCACCTCACTGTCAGTGGACAGCCCCAGGTATCTCGTATACTGATTTTTCCAGGCTGCTTTCCACAGCTGATTAATGGCCTTCTCTTTCTTTCACTAGCTTTCTTCTCCCATATATCTACATAAAACCCTTGCCTCTACTCATGTCCCTTACCTCTCTTCATTGCCTCTTCTCCTGCTTTCTACCTCTTATTCCCCAGCCCTATTTGCATTTGATCTTGCCCTTTTTACCCCACGCCCTGCAACAGCAACACACACTGGGCTTTTCATTAGTGCCTGAAAAAGATAGGTACCTTGCTCCTATGGCATTTGGGATACGTAGTGGCCCTCAGGTCCTTCGAAATAAAAAGTTAGGCTTAGTAGATCAATGGCAGGCCTTCAGATGCTGCTGGAGAAAGAGCAAGGCCCTTCCTACAGCAGAATGGCAAAGCAAGAAAGTCTTTCTTGTCTGCAGCTCTTGACAAGGAAAACGTTGAAGCCCGGATACTCTCAGCATTTAAAGCCACTGTCTATTATAATTTATGAAACATGTTTGTCCTGGCTCCCAGTTCTGTTTGTACATGCAGCCATATGGAATTGGCTGGCTTTTGCTTACCCAGGCTTCCTTTGTCTCAGAGACATCTCCCAAGGTGTTGCACTGGAAACAGGTTGGAGCCTGGTGCCCTGTATTAACATACAGCTCTGAAGGAAGCAGAGAGGTGCCTTCCAACCCAAACTATTATATGATTCTCTTTGTTGCTTTTGACACCCAGTCATTTGGGCAATTAGAAAAAGTCTCTTTGTTTTTGTTTTTGTAACTAGGTCAAAGCAAATCCCCTTTCATGCTCCCACTCTGCGTATGATGAATGATCTGCTCAGGGCAGTTGTTTTTCTTTTCTTTTCTTTTTCTTTTTCCTTTAAACATCCACAAAAGAATTCTTATAGTAGAGAGAACTTGGTTCTTCCAGCAGAAGAGAGGGGGGCCTGCCAAGGTAAACATACTGGCACAGGACTTGGTGGTTTCTCATACATTGTTCTAAAGAGGCTCAGGTTTTCATTTAGTTTTTCTTTTCCTGCTAGTACATTTACTCCTGCAAAGCAATATTTTGTGCAAAGGGCCAGAACAGGCTCATGAATTACTTGGTCATAGTGTTACGAACTTAAGCAGCACATGGTCTTGGATCTCGCCTATAGCAGGAAAAGTAGATTTCTTCCCCAAATCATTGCAGAATGATCCCTCCACAAAGAGCAAGGAATTACCTCTAGCTCAAATGACCCCCAAGACAAGATCTTGTTGCCCTTCCACTGTGACTAGTTTGATAATGATAATGGATCATACCGTCAAATACTTCCCCTTGTTAAACAATTACAACCTGATGCTGCTTTGAACAGTAAGCAGAGAATCTAGCCTGGCATGAGAAAGCTGGGCTGAAAATTCTGCAGGAGCCTACCTTGATCAAATTATTGCCTGTATGTTGCCACTCCATCTGACATTATAAAATGTGTGAAGTTGGCTCTGGCTAGAATGGTGTTACAATCCCAAAAACCCAGGGTCAAGGAGGAGCGAATTAACACTTTCATATAATTTTTCCTTACTTTCCCTAGCTCTCTTTGAGGACAAACAGAGAGACAATCTTCCACTGCTTGCCATTACTGCTGCTGGGAAGCAGACTGGCCCAGCAGTTGTTCCAGCCCTGGCAGAGATACAGAGGGCAGTTATCTCAATGAAAGTAATTGTGCTCAGGAGCTTTGCTGCTGCTATCCCAACCCCTTTCCAGGGTAGGATCTAATTTGGGAAGCTTTGGGCAATCCCAGGCTGGCATTCCAGTGCAGACACACCTACCTGTGTATCTGTGGGAGTTGCAGTTTTAATGCAAGCTGCGTGGGAATGAGCTAACCTCAAATTATGGTATCTTTCATGGTAAGGATGCTATTCTAAGTTTGACAGCCACCAAAAGCTTGCTGCTGTATAATAACTACTTTGTAGTTAGGGTAAAGTAAGTTAGGAAGGATAGTGCAGTTCTGACATGACAATTCCCGTCTTCATTATTGTATAGCAGAAGCTGAAAAGGGCCCTAGAGCCTCATACCTGGGTCCAAACGCTGCTCTTCAGATGGGAAATTACTACCAAGAGATCTCTGTGCTTTGTGAAGCAGCCAAAGAATAACATCAAGGCAGACATTTGACAATTCCATTGAAAAAGAATTAAAAGCTGAACAAGACAAAAATCGTACAACATTTAGGTCAAAAAGAAAACAAACTTGTAGCTGGCAAAATAAAAAGTCTACACCACATCAGTCAGGATTTTAAATTGAAAATTTTTAAAACTAAGGATTTGAAGCAAATAGATGTTACTGTTATTTTAAATAAATAGCTATGAGCAATTTATTTTCTGTAAAGAGCTTTGAAATACTGTACTTAAAAAAACCCCCAAACTACAGCTTTTCTTTCTTAAACAGCAGCTATTTTTAAGTGTTCCAAAAGGTTTGTTTTCCATAGCTCCCAGAGGGCTGAGCTAACTAAGCCATTACAACCAAATAGGATGCATTACACTTATTTCAATCGTATGTAATAAATAATGAACACAAAAATAAGTTGGAGACAGTCTGCAGCAGCCAGCTTACAGTTGTTCTTCAAAATGCCTCATTTCCTACTTACTACTTCAGGCCAGAGTTTTTAACTTCCCTGTGATATTCATCCAGTGGTCTCTCCCCTTCGCTTCCAGCTAGGCAGAAAATACTGGTTGCTGTCAACAAACTGATGTTTGTGTCCATCCATTACATTGTGACTCCGTGCCAAGTGCTGCATTTTGTAGCTCTTTTTTTTTTCTTTTGGATGCTGCCACAAATATTTGGACAGTGTCTGTTTTGGAATTTTAAACTGGAGAGGGGGAAGCTGCTTTGAGTGCAGCTTGGATGTTGAATATATATGCACAGCATACTAATGCTAAAAACACAGCCATGCGTTCTGACTGCTGACTATCAATTTTAATTGTATTTTTCCCTTTCTAAGGCCAGATAATATGTCTTCAGAGCTGAGGAAAACTGAGAGGAACTCCATGATTGTTCTGGGGCAAAATACAAAGAATGAAAACATATGGCCTTTCTGATAACTTGAGTCAAATGGAACAAGGTAAAATAAGTAAAGCAGTATGTGGTTTTTTGTGGGTTGGAGGGTTTTTTTTGTCCCCTCTCAGCACAGAAATGAGACAGTCCTGTTCCTTCATCCAGACACACTCCAACATGAAAGGACAAAAACATGTCAGATTTTGAAGGTCAAATTATGTGGATTCATGTCAGCTGAGGACTGGCCCATATACCTTCATTTTAATAGTCACCCACTTTGAAAAGAAACAACCAAAACCAAACACAAAACACAGTTTAAAGGTATCCATAGTCATACAGGCTACGTCATGCAGCCTTTTTGTAAGAAGTACAGCAGCAAATTATTTTATCTACAGTCAGTTAAAAGACTCCCAAATAATAAGACAACCAGGTGTTTTGGGAAAGAGGTAATTTGCCCATAATCCAGACTAAAAGAGACCCAGGCTCAGCCTCATCTTCCATCTTCTCAACTCAGCTCACGGGTTAAATACAGAGAAACTCTTTCTAGTCTCTCATATTCACTGCATGTTTCTGTTTCAGAAAGGCAAAAATGGGAACACCAGTGGACACAAGCCCAAGAACCCTGAGGTTACTTTGCACAACCCGCATCCTGCAGTTGTCAACAGAGCAACTCCAGTTTGGGCACTGGAAGGGAGTAGGGTGCATGGACTTTCTGTGCTCAGCTATGTACGGCTTTGCTCCCAAATCTGAAATATATTCACAGAAGTCAAGCCACAGATGAAAATTGTTGTTAGCATCTTGGCAACATAAACAATAGAGATTTGGAAATTCTTCCTCCTCCTCTCTGGCTTAGGAACACCATTACCTGAAACACTGAAGCTTCTAAATTATCACTGCTTTCTGGGGACCTTCTCCAGCTGAAATAAATTTAAGCTTTATGGGACACAGCAACATGTAGAAGGGTGCCACAGGCTCATTGCCCAGTGCAGAAGTGGCTGTTGGAAGGACAGCCTCCTCTCAGGGTGGGCTGAGTGGCAGTCTCTGTTTGTCCCCAACACCACTCCTCCCTTCAGAGCAGCATCGAACGAGCTATGCCATTTTACTGGAATCTAATAGGAAAACCAAGTCTGTAAAGCCAAGACTTCCTAGAAGGCCATCCTGAATCCACCACTAGCTTCTAATCCTGCAAGTCTGCTCCTTCTACAGAGGCACCTCAAATCTAGTGCTGCCTTACAGGCATCATGCAGGTTCATGGAAGAGACCAGACTGAGGAGCACTGTGGGAATTAGCCTTTAAAGAGACCAGAGGGTTCGTCTGAGGCAACACCTCAGTTTCACTAGGCAGCCCAGCTCTTATGCTATCATGTTTTTTGGGAGGAGGGAACCAGGCTTGAATTCCTACTTTTAAATTACAAGTTAAGTCCTCTGGCTGTACAGGTAGGGTAGTCATTTTGTCAAATGGCTCAGTCTATGCTCTCTCTGCTGGGAAAAGGCAAGAGGGAGCACAAAGCTGCAAGGAAGAGTTATTAAAATACAGATATCCTTTACAAGTTGCTGGTCTTTAGGGCCCAGCTAACAATCATGTACCACTATGGCCATGTTTGGTGGCTGGCTTACAGCCCTGTGCCCACTGATTCCAGACTCAATGGGCAGACAGTGCATGCTTCTGAAGGTCCCATGGTTGCAGTGGTCTCTGCTCACCAGCTCTTACTGGTATTAGCACAATAATTAATGCACATAGAGCAAAGATTTAAATAAACGCCTAAATTACAATGTAATTGGAAGTCAAGCAATTGCTCTTTGAAAATCCTTCCCTAACCCAAACTTGCCTGGGAACCAAGATTTGAGAAGCTGGCAGGAATGGATCTTCAGCAGGCTTAGCCTTCCAGTAACACATGCTTCCCCCTTATCCACTGGGATCAGCTGGAGCCCTAAGAGTCTGCCAAACCAGAGCAATATCTCTTCTGAGATTCAAAGCTCCCCAGCCCCATTCATCCAGGCAGCTGTGGTTTGCAGGAGTAAGTAAAGGCAGCAGCCCAGGCCTGGTGCTTCAGATAGCAGAAGGGTTGTTACTTAGCATCTCAAAAAAAAAACCCCAAAAAAACCACAACAAAAAAAAAACATCTCAAAAAACCCAACAACAACAAAAAACAAAACAAAACAAAAAAAAACCAAAAAAACCCCAAACCAACCCAAAAAACAAAAAAAACCCCAAACAAACGATGCCCCCCCCCCCCCAAAAAAAAAAAAAAAAAAAAAACAACCAAAAAAACCAAAAGGTCTGTTCTACCTAAAATAGGTGCTATGTTTAATACTTCAGTTGTAGCTGCTGTGGGACATGGTTGTTCACTGTGTATCTTGCTAGCTCCATCCAAAGCTAGAAGGATTCATAACTTGATTATTCTATGAATAGTCTGTATATCTCCATAAATACAGGGGACTAAAATCCTCCATTAACTTACGCCCTCCATTATCTCTCCAGCTTTACAGAGTCTGTAAGGAATGTGAATCAGTGCAAACTGAAGTTTAAGTGTTCTAAGATGTAGCAGCATGAACTGCTATTTCCAGCCACCACCACTCAGATTATAAGTCTATTTTGTTTTTTATTTTTACTAAAATAAACTAGCACTCTTTTTTTAGTATAGCATTATATGAAATATATTCATGTATTTTCAAAAATAAATATATTTATAACATGTAACATAACTGTATAGTTCTCCGTTACAAAATGCATTGTAATACAAGCATAAGAAATTTAATAAAAACATCACTACAGTAATTGTTTTCAGATATTTTATTAGTGAATCCCTGGATGGCAGCATAGCAGCTGCCACACATTTAAAGTTTAGGTGAGCACATCTAGGCAAGAAAGGAACTATTGCTTCCACACTTTTAAAGAGCCTTAAAGCTTTGGAAAAGCAGCAAGGTTGTTCTTTTGAGGCTGGTGCTGTTCTGAAAGACCCAGAGAGCACAGAGAGCCTTTGGAAAATTCTGATACAGGCAAGTGTGGATTTCAGCTTGAGCAGCCCTAGATCAGGTGCTAGTGCTAGGCTTTGCTTCTAAAGCCTCAGGGCAGGCAGACACAGCAGGTCAGCGCACACCACTTCCAGAGGAAAGGGTGAAGACACTGGGGACAAAGCATGCTGATGCTCAGCATCAGGGTTTCTTTCTGAAAATGTTTTCATTAGCAGCAGCACACAACAGCCTCAGCTGAGAGGTGCTGACTGGCCTCAGGGCTGCTTCTCCTCAGCTTCCTTCATTCAAAGCCCACAGCACCCTCCTGGACAGATGAGCTTTCTTTCATCTATGGGAGCCAAGGCCAATGGCTACAGCAAACACCACCTTTAGTTCAGCTGTATAACCAGGTAATGTAGAGTGAAGCTGAAGGGGGTGCTGACACAAGGAGTCACATAGGGTTATTCAAATAAATCTAGGGAAAAGTCAATGAGACGCAACTAAAGAAAGTAGAGGCCAGGGCAGGGGGGTTGGAGGGGAGAAGACAGAAATCCACCTGTGGAGGTAGAAGAAAAAAAAACAAAACAACACACACA